CACACTCTGTCCTAAAACAGCTAGGCTTGAGCTCACCTACAGCTGCGTATTTTATAATTTTAAATACACTTGGTTAAGTACACACATGCACTTTATGGTCCTTCAAGGTAGAAAATGCACATGTTCACAGTGACTCAGTTGCGCAACATCTTGGAGTTTGCATTATTTCTTATATTCTATCACCGAGAAGGGAGTGGGACGATGACAAACCATGAAGCTTTCACCTGCCCTGTGACTGAAAAACCATTTAGGGGAAGGTAAGACTGATAATGCAAGAAGGCACAGATAATTAAAAAACCCAATCAAACAAACCCTTAACAAAAGCTAACCCTCTTTCTCTCTTCTGCTACCTATGGGTAAAATAAAAGGTAATACAGAACGTTAATCTGATCAATTGATCAAGGAATTACTCAAGATTTTTCCAGAAGATAAAGGTACCCAGTGAGCCAGGAAAGAAGGAGAGACCATGTTTGAGGTGTATGTAATTCAAAAACACTATAGATGCTTTCAGAGCTTTCCTCACCCGGTGAGAATTGTGTTTTCGTGTCTAACTTCGTTTTGAACTCTCGTGCTTGGGGTTTTAGGTCTTTCCTGGCCTTGGGCTACTTGTGTTTGTAGCTCCAAAACTGAACAGCCATTCATTCTTCTAATCTGATTAGGATTGAACTAACCACTCACCAGTGGTTTTAGCAAGACAAACTTCATATAGACCTTTTCTGCATTGGAGAGATTAAAAAAAAAAACCCAAACAAAACCAAAAGCAACAACAACAACCAAAACCACCACACAAAACAAACCGTTCTGAAATCTGTGCGAGACAATTTTTGGGTAGGAAATAAACTTCTCCCTACTCCCTCTGTACCCCTCCTGCAACTTCACCTCCCTCCTTGGATGTATGGTGCCTTTGTTCACCACTAGTTCCTAGTTGCTATGGAGTTTTACGCCTTGGTAAACTATATTTCACCTCCTCCTGGTGAAAGCTATTATTTTCCTAAATGCACACTTTTCAGACTCTGGTCCTTCCCCCTACCCCGTGTTGGTCGCACTTCCTCAGCCCACGCTGGCCTGCCCCAGCCTAAAGCCGTGTTTTCCCACTCGGATCTCAGCTCACCCTCTAGCACTTGTCCAATTGTTTGACCACGGACAGATGCTCTCCTGCTTCTCTTCGGTTTTATTGTCCCTAATTTTATTTTTTTTAAGGTTTCTGAGGGACAGTCCCTCTATCTGAGAGCCGCAGCTAACCGTGGCACACGTCTTTTCCAAATCAATGAGAGGTGTCCGGGCTGAAAGTGTGGACAATGGGATTTTACCGAGCATGAAGCATACTACCCCCAAACCCGTCCTGGCAGGCCGTGCTAAAGCATTTGAATGACTTTCATGAAATGAGACCTTTCTGAAGGCTCCTCCCTTCAGAGAAATACACCATCTAGGAAAGATAGGCATGAAACTGCTTGGGGGCACCCCAAGGCTTTGTAAATTGGGGGTGGGGTGTGTGTCCTTTGTCACAAAGCACCACTGCTTCCACCCCAAAGTCAGGGACCAAAGTGCTTTACCTTGAGGGTTGCCCCTCACTCACCACAAGCTCCGGACATGTAAAGGGATGGGGTTTTCACTTTGGAACTTCAGACTTTTTGACAGCACATAACAGTGGTGTGGTTCACTTCAGTCAGCTACCAATTTCTAGCCTGTCCTATAGATGCATCTCCTGGTGTGTCCTGGTTTTAGACATAAAGACTGGGAAGGAATTCCAGGTTTCCTGCTAACATTTTGGCCATGAAGCTACAGGAGTGGGCCCCATATATCACATGCTGTTACATCGAAGATCCTCAAAATCCTCCAAAATCTAGTTTGTTAATCTTTACTTTTGCAAAGTTTTCTCCAATAGTAGAATGGTTTAGTGCATGCAAAAGCCAATGGGCTTTCGCTTCAGCCTCTAAAGAAAGCCTCCCATTACATCTGTACCTGCACACCAGGCTCCCCAGCTCCTCTGCCAGCTGTCCTGCTACTCAGGCTGCCCTAGTGTTCCAGCTTTTCCTGACATTATTAAGCAGAGGCACGGCAGAGCTGGAGCCAGCAAACAGGCAGGCAGGCAAGGCCCTGTCCAATTCCACACCCACAATCTGTTATCCTTCCTACCACCTGGGCAGAGGTCAGCTTGCACCTCTCCCCCATGCCCCTCACTGCAGATACTCCGCTCACACCAGCCTCCCGGCTCAGAGCTCTGCAAGACCATGTCCTGCCATCTTTTTTGTTGTGTCTCCTCTGTCTTTCTTTTGGCCTTGCATCTTCAGAGGTGACTTTTCAGCCAAACTTGGCTGTCTGACTCCTCTATGGCTCGGTCGTGTGAAACCTCTTGCCTCAGACTTCAGTTTCCCCACGGAAAGCAGCATCCATCCCTGACCTCAGAACAGAGGGAGAGCTGCTTGGTTTTGACCAGTACCCTCCTGGTACCCTTGACCAGTCCCAGGCCGGCTGTCCCGGGCGGCAGCCCTCTGTGGAGCTGCGTGAGTCCCGAGGCGCTGGGGAAACAGAAGGGCAGTGGGGCGCGACGGTGCCGCGTTTGTAGAGTGGGGCCACGCGTGGCCGCAGGTGCCTGGAGCTTCACTGCACTTTCACAAGGGGTGTCACCACACCGGGCCAGGCTCATTGGCCTCAGATCCCCTTCGGTTTGGACGATGCCCACGGAGACGCTCGGTGCTGCTCGTGGAGTAGCACCGAACCACCCAGCATCCTCGCTTTTTGGGGTGCTGAGTTTTCTGGAAGAGGAGGAGCCAAAATGCCGTAAGGTGGAGGGACAGCTTGCTTCACTCTCCGTCACTCCACCCCCCCCCCCGCCAAAAAAAGGGAAGATAGCTTGTGTTGTCTCCCCGCCCTGTGCAGTGCCTGTGTGCGTGGGGTGTGCGCGGCACGGTGGAGCGGCGGCGCCGGTTCCCCGCCGGTTCCGCGGGGCGCGGGCCGGCAGCCGAGGCGCCCAGTGCTGGCCCCGCTCGGCGGCCCGTGGGGGGCCCTCTCCCCCGCTCAGTGCCGTCCCCCGGCCCCGGTAGCCGCGCAGCAGATGGCTCGCGGTCCGGGAGGGCGCCCGCCCGCCGGTGAATGCATGACTGGAGCCGGGCTTTGGTGCCGCCCAGCCCGGGAGGGTCCCGCGTGGAGTTCAAGAGCGGCCTTTCCGGCTGACAGCAATGCGCTTGTTTTTCCCAGATATCTCGACCCGCCCCTGCCCCTCACGCCTGGAATTCTCCCTCCTTCCCTTCTTCCCCTACTTGTCCATGAGGGACTCGAAGGCTGCGGTCGGGAGATGGGGCGCACCGCACCATTCCCCCCACCGCCCCCCGGGCAGCCTTTCGACCTCCCTCTGGGACGTCTCCTCTCACTCCTTCCCGACTGTGGCGTCTCCCTTTTCCCCTCAGTGGGGCCGGGCCCTCCCCCACCAGACCCCACTCGCTCCAAGGCGGGGCTCTGGGCTCGCTGGCTGCCCGGCCGGCCGCTGGCGTGCAGCGGGAGCCGTCGGTTTTCCGCAGGGTGATTGTAAACGGGTTTGACTGGCCGTTGATCTCGGGGTCAGGACTCTCCTCGCTAATCCCTCGCTCTCCAAACACCGCCCCCTCTCCTCCTCCCCACGCTCTCCCTCCCTTTCTCTCACCCCTCTCCCCTTCTGCCACCCCCGTTTTCCTCTTGCATCATTTATCTGCAGCCTCTCTGACGGCATCGGGGGCACCTTGCTTCCTGGGGCCGCAGCTCGCAGAGACCCACTCGCACTCCACAAACAACATCCCCCAGGCCCACTGCTCCACGACTCCGGGGGGATTGGTTTAGCAAGGAGGGCCCTCCCTGCAAGATCAGCCCCCCGCACACCGACACGGACACACGAACACAGGGACACACTGACGCTGTCCGCCCCCACGGGACTGCCCCGTCCCGGCGCTCTCCACACGTAGGAGGGAAGGGGAGATCTGGAGATTACTGGGGCGAGCTGACAGAAAGTGTGCGGGAAGGGGGAGGGAGGGGCAGAAAAGAGTTCGGGAGAGTCCGTGAGTGCCCGGGAAAGGCGGGCAAATCGTGGGGCGTGGGAGAGCGTCGGCGCCAGCCCCGGGAGAGCATCCCGTCCAGATAACCCATCAAACCCACAGACACCTGCCAGTTCGCGTCTTTTAGCTTCGTTTTACTTTACAACGATACTTAGATCAGCCTTTTGGTTTGGTTTTCGGCGGGGGAGCTTGTCTGTGTGATGCTGTGGTGCTTTTTCGCTTTTATAATTTCTTTTTCCTTCCGTGGCAGTTTACACGTAATAATAAAATGCTGTAACAGCGTCAGACGTTCAGGTGACCCGGCCTGATGTCGCCTGCATGTGGCGCAGCTGGGAGGGAGGGTCCTCCCCACCCCCCACCCCGCCCTACCAAGGAGCATTTCGCGGAGCTTCTTGTCCCGCTGTGGCCCTACGGGAGCCTTGGGTCTGATTTATGGAATCGTCCCTCTTTTTATCTTCATGGACAATTTCGTGCGCCCTCCTCCTGCGCTCCGTTGCTCCCAGAGGCTCGGAGCCGTCCCACCGATGCTCCCCCCCGGGGCTTGTTGCGATGTGACTCCGGTTGAGAGGGCGGGGGAGTGGAACTGGAGGGAACGGCATTTCCCCGGGGCCCAACGCCACTCCTACGAGCTCAGTGAGCCACGCACGGTGGAAAGGAAGAAGGGAGGGGGAATGTTTTTTAGAAAAGGAGAGCCGTTGGGAAAAGAGCTGTGGAGTTCTGGCCAAGTTTGTGTTTTGGCTCGAAGTTCGGAGCGGATCAAACCTGTTATCTCTCTGTGCCTCCTGTCCTTCTGGCCCCTCTGCCGCTGTCCCCCTCCAGGGACACAGTGTCTCCCCGGCAGAGCGGTGACCGCGGGGGTGGGGTCTGCCCACGGGGGGCCTTGACCCCAAGCTCCCCACGCTACACGCAGCCTAACTGCGCAGAGAAGGCACCTCGGCCCCGCTCCCATTCGCCTAATTCCTGGATTTTCCTTCCTTTTACTGAAAACGAGATGACTTTTTGCTTTAATTCTTCCACATACGTGATTTTAATAGCTCTGTCAATCATGCTATAGGAGGAACATTTCATACAATTTTAGATGTAATGTACTTAAACCATAAATCGCTTAAACCTATTCTTAGTTTTGCATATTCAATTATTCTCTTATATATAACTCTCATAGCAAAAAGCCCGAAGACATAATTATGTGACTGTACCTAACCCCAACTCATCTGCCTAGGAAAGTTGTTCTGTTTAAATATCCAAACGTGAAGTTTAACTCAAATTAAACTGAACTGCCAAACCAACCAATAGACCACGAACAGCAAAAAAAATTCTACCCCGATGGTGTCTCAAGGGGGTGGGATAGTATGTGGTATTTCGTGGAGATCGGAAGGGGTTTTTGTTAGTTTGTTTGGGGTTTTGTGTGTTGTTCGGGTTTTTTCATTTTCTTTTGTTTGTTTTGTTTTGGTTTTTTTTTTTTTTTTTTTTTTTTAGGAAGGTTTGCTTTTTAGGTTTGTTTTTTGGGGTTTTTTTTGGGTGGACATTTGCAGAGCGAACTGTATTGCATTGAAAGGCGAGCTGAGGGTGTTTGAAGCTTATTTGAATATAGCCGATATTGGGTCTCTTTAATCCCCTTGTGTTGAAAGTGCAGGTATTCCTATTATTCTAGGCATAACGCCACTGAGCCGCTAAATTGTTTTTTTTTAGAAAAAAAAAAAGCACTTCCCCATAGTATTTCTGCTGTTTGGACGCAAGTTAACAGATGTTTATTTGCTATTCTCTCTTGACCACTCCAATCCTGTTCCATCAGCCATGTTCAGCGATACAGTATTCTTCTGTTCTATATTGTCATTAAATGTGATTTTCAACAGCTATGACCCTTAAAGAAAAAGGCACGTAACAAGAGTGCATCAAACGTATATGTGTCTGCATGTGCACATGGGTACACACACACACACAAACACACACTTACTTCTCTTCGGTCACGATGCTATCTATGGTGTGTACAGATATTTACGAGTATATGCACATGAAGGACAACACGTTTAAAGAAACAGTTCAACAGGTACCCAGCTTAATCTGCATACCTAAAGGTACAGCTATTAATTTTTAAAATCTCATCTAAGACTCTGTTTGGCTGGAGGTGATCAACACCGCAGAAAGTTTCCCACAGGTTTCTGCTTTCTGTATGCACTCTTTGGTCGCTGAGCATTCCCAAAACCCGTCTGCTAACTGTCTGAACCCGCACAGTCCTACATTTTAATAAAGGCTCGAATAGTTAAGAAAAGAAAAGGAGAAAAAAAAAAAAAAAAAGTTTGGGCTGAAATCAATGGGCAGCTTCCGTGAAAATTTTGGGTTCAGTATGAGTGATTTATACAAAATCATCGACAGGAGTCCGAAGAGTTATGTATGTCAATTGACATGTCAGCATTATAGAAGTGCAATCACTAAGCAAACCCTCATTAGCTAACTAAAACTTCCCCACTCCTGGACGGATGCAGTACTTATTCACCAGAGCTAAAGGACGAAGAGTCCTACAGCCTACTGGGGTCGACATTGAAGTCCTGAAAGTTAATCATTTTTCCTTTTGTTTAAGCAGTTATGACTACTTTAAAAATTCATTTGCTACAGTAGTTTACAGCAAACTTTTAATTCTAACATATAGAAGATTATCTCTCAACAGCTAGAAAAAAAAATTAAATTAGATCTCAAAGCATGAAACAACATTCTGCAATGAAATGACACGCATCGTTTTGCTCGCCAGCTTTCGCACCAGTCGCTAAAAATGGGAGGCGGGGGAATGGGGAGAAAGGTGTGACCTCCCCGCTCCCCGCTCGCCCCCGGAATGCTCCGGGTGGATGGGACTGCTTTTCGGGCGGGAGGTTTAGAGGTCGCTTTTCTTTTCGTTACGAGCAAAAAGAAGCGCTTTCACTTTCTATGGTGTCAATTAGAGGGGAAGCGCCGCGCTGGACGGTGTCTTCTCATTTCCCGGGGAGGTGCGCGTTCCCCGGGCCGCCGGGAACTCCCGGCCGAGTGGGGGCCCGAGGCGACAGGGGCGGGCAGCGCCCGATCACCCCCCAGGGAAAAGTCAAGGCTCCGGCAAGGTCCGGACCACCAGTCCAGCCATAAAATCCACAAAACGAACGTTCACGGCTGAAGAGTAACGCTTGCCTTGCCTTGCAGTATCAAAATAAATCTACCTTCACCCTTCTGATCGACATAGGTTAGGGAACATCGACATTTACTGCAGATTGCACTTCGTTCTGTTTGCCGCTACTTAAAACTTCCTTCCCAAAATTTCCCTGCTGTGTTTCCAGGCTTACCATGGTAAATCTCACTATGCTCGCCAGTTAGCTTTTCTTTTTATACAGGTGACTTTTTCTGCTTTGAAATTTATTTAATTAAAACAGGGAAAAAAAAAAAAAAAAAAGAAGAACCGCATCCTTAGGATTTCCGTTTAGCAGAAAGGCTTTTTAGTGAACTATATACACAATCTGATTTCCTTCGTACCGCCTAAATAAAAATTATTTCACAATGCATTTACAAGAAATGATACAAAAAGAAAATGAAATGAAAGAGAAAGCAAACAAACAAAAATATCCAGATACAATAAAGTTTTACGAATCCCGGGGAAAAAAAAATGGAGCTTCCAAAACAAAAAAAAAAGTTTTATAAATAAACAAACAAGTAAGAAAAAAACCCCAACCCAAACCCAAAAAACCCTCGAGAATATCTACAAAAAACTTTTAAGTCTTCTTTTGGATTTGTCTTAGTACATGAGTAATAAATGAGAACTGTTTCCTCATCAACTTCGAGTTAATTAGTCAATAAAAAATCTTCGCAAGAAGCGATCCGTGACTGAAATCGTAGCTGTTCCGCGCGGTATAAAAGTTGGCATCACCTACAACTTTGTGTGTTTATTATTGGTATTTTTTCTTTTCGCTGCCGTTTCCCCCCTTTCTCTCTTTCTTTCTCCTCTTTTGCAAATAAACGCTCTATGTCTCTTGGATGAATGATAAATACTGTACAAAAAGTCTCGATAAAACACAGAAGTTCAGTCTAAAACTAGTTTTATAAACTAGTCCTTCTAAAAAAAAAAGGTAAGTAAAGCAACCGTTACCTTTTTTCTCTCTCGTTATTATTATTATTATTTATTATTATTATTACAAGAACATCAAAACATTTCTGTACAAAAAGGAAGGAAGAAAGAAAAAAAAAAAAAAGAGAGGCGGGGGAGGGCGGGAGGGAAGGAGCGCGAGAGGCAAAAATAAGAGGGGGGAACCTGGGAGCGGGGCAGGAGCGGCGCGGGGCCGGGGCGCGGGCAGCGGCCGGGGCTGAGCGTGCGGTGGCAGCGGCGGGGCGCGCAGTCCTGCAGGCCGGCCCGGGGCCGGGGGCGGTGGCCGAGCCGGTGCCCGCGTCCGTGCCTGCCTCCGGCGCTCCGGTGCTGGCGGGGGCTCAGATGTGCGTCAAAGGAACGGTGCCGTTCACCCCCGTGCTGGCGCTCTGGTAGTGCTGGGGCAGGGAGTGGAGCCGGCTCTGGGCGGCAGCGGCCGCCGGATCCCCGCCTTCCCCGGCCGGTAAGTACATGCTGATCATCTCCCGCAGGTCCCCGGGGCACGGGGCCCGCGAGTGAGAGGTGACGGGCGGGCTCACGCTGGGCTCCGACTTCACCAGCGAGCCCAGGGCACCCAGCGCACCCGAGGAGGCGGCCGCCGCCGCTGCCGCCGCCGCCGCCGCCGCAGCCGAGTTCTGATGGGGCTGGGAGCCGTAGGGCAGGGCGCCGTAGCCCGAGGGCGAGGCGCTCATGTAGCCCTGCGAGTTGGAGATGGGGCTGTACTGCAGGGCACCCATGTCGTAGCGGTGCATGGGCTGCGGGTTGTGCGGGTGGTGCGGGTGATGTGGGTGCGGGTGGTGCGGGTGCCCCCCGCTGCCCGGGTGCTGGCTGTAGGCGAGCTGCGCCTCCTGCATCATCGCCGCCGCCGCCGCCGCCGCCGCCACCGAGCCCGGGTAGGCGCCGTTGGCCCAGCCGTTCATGTGCGCGTAGCCGCCGCTGGCCGTGCCGCCGGGGCTCTCCAGCCGCTGCCCGACGCTGCCCGGGCTGACGCCGACGCCCATGCCCACGCCGACGCCGGCCGGGCCTCCCCCGGCCGAGCCGGCGCTCAGCAGCCCCCCGGCCAGCGAGTACTTGTCCTTCTTGAGCAGGGTCTTGGTCTTCCGCCGTGGCCGGTATTTATAATCCGGGTGCTCCTTCATGTGCAGCGCTCGCAGCCGCTTCGCCTCGTCGATGAACGGTCTCTTCTCGGCCTCCGACATGACTTTCCACTCGGCCCCCAGGCGCTTGCTGATCTCCGAGTTGTGCATTTTGGGGTTCTCCTGGGCCATCTTCCGCCTCTGGCCCCGCGACCACACCATGAAGGCGTTCATGGGTCTCTTGACCCGGTCCTGGTTCGCTTTGTTTCCCCCGCCGCCGCCGCCGCCTCCGCCGCCTCCCGCTCCGGTCTGCCCCGAGAGGTTCGTGGGGGCCTGGGCTCCGCCAGGGGAGTGCAAGTCCGTCTCCATCATCATGCTGTACATTCAAATAGCTTTTTTATTTTCCACCGGTGCCAGACGTGAAAAATGAATCAAACATAGAGGAGCCCGGGACGCCGGGGAGCGAGCGAGGCGAAACCCGTTTGTATCTAGGTAGCGACCGCCGTGCCGAAAAAAAAAAAAAAAAAAAAAAAAAAAAAAAAAAAAAAAAGGAGGAGGAGAAGAAAACCGCGAGGAGAGCAGGAGAGCGATCGGAGACCCTGCCGGCGGAAAAAAAAAAAAAAAACTTTCTCCCTTTCGCAAATCACTTTCGGGGCTCGGCGGCGACGGGGGTTCGAGCTGCTCAAACAGGTGCACGGCAAACTTGCTGCTTCACTTGGCGCGGCGGGAGGAGTGTGCGGAGCCGTCGGCGGTGTCCTCCGCTCGCCGGCGCTCCCCGGCAGACGCGCGCACACCCCTCCGCTCCCGCTCTTATCCTTAACGGAGCTATTTTTTTTTTGTTCTTTGCTGCTAACTTGGAGAGAGAGAGGGAGGGAGGGGAGGGAGCGTGTGTGACTTGCATCCGCTGATCGCAGGTGAACGAAGAAGAAGAGAGGAGAACCCACCGCCACGCGAAAAGGAGGCGGAAAAAAAAAAAAAAAGTATTTCAACGTTAACTGAAAAAAAAAAAAAAAGCAGGAGGAGGATCGGGGGAGGGAGGGGGTGGGGGAAGGAGCCCAACCAAAACACGCGCCGAGCCCGGCGGCCGGGGCCGGCGGCACAGCAATTTGCTGGCGGTGGTCTCCCTCCCGCGGCCCGGGCGGGACGGGCCGGCGGGGCCGGGACGGGGCCGGGCGGGAGGAGGAGGAGCCGCCGGGCGCGCGGGCGAGCGGCGCCGCAGCCATACGGCGCGCGCCGAGCCCGCCTTAAATCGCCTGACGGCGGCCAATGGGGGCGCGCCGCCGGGCGCTCATCTGCATATGGCGCGCGCCGAGCGGTGACGTGCGGCAGGGCGCGCCGCGATCCGGGCGGGCGGAGCGGCCGCGGCCCCGTCCCGGGGCGGGGACAGCCCCCGGCCCCGCCGCCCCGCCGGCATCGCCGCACGGAGCCCGCGGCCGCCCCGTCCCGCCCGGCTCGCCCAGCACTAAGACGACCGTCCAGCAGTATTTAGGGGGGCTGAAGCGCCCCAGGCAGTCCGCCCCGCTACCGCAGCCGTGCGGGCGGCAGGTAAACGTGCCTTTTCCGCGGGACTTCGTTCTGGAGATTTCTCCGGAGCCCCCTCAGATGTCTCTCCCAGGTGTTAAAACTGCTGCCAGGCCCAGGCATGCGGAAGAGGCAGGACGCTGTCGTTTTTCACTTAGTCCTAGAGGAGTTAAAACACCTGCGACTAAAGAAGGTACACGGAAACATGTTATCTTTGTATATAGTAAGTACAGGTATACTGTACTTACTATATGAGTAAGTATACTACATGAGAGGGTTTTTTTTTGTTTTGGTTTGGTTTTTTTTGCCCTTGAAAACATTAAAAGACTACCTTTGTGCCCTGGCTGCCCTGTGAGATTATAGTTATTTTTATAGGGGGGAGAAAATAGTCCACATAGAAATTCATGCTGCAGTCTTTAATTGCAGCTATAGGAATGGCAAGTCCGTCACACAAATGCCCACGCACGTATAAACGGCCGCCCCCATCATCTTTTGCCAGGTGGAGTAAGGCACACACAGCATGCCTGCTCTTTTCACGGTCCGTGTTAATTTTCCTGACCCTAGTGGCCATCCAAGGCTGGAATCACGCTGCAACTCCCCCAATTACTGTTATTACCACCAGAAGTTTTCTGCAGGAGGAATATGCACTGTGCACAAAGCACTAGTCCTAGGCACTGAGCTAGGATTAGACTTTTTTCCTCATTTCCAATGACTCGTCATGATAGTATGAGGTTGCTGGGGAGAGGAAAGCACCTCTCCACTTCTGGTGGCCGAAGGCTCAGCCTGCTTCCAGCCTTTGAGCTCAATCCGAGTGATACTGTTAACTCGGGTGCCGGTGCTTTTGGGAGGACATTATTCTCTCCCAGTCAGCCCTAAGGGTTCAAAGAGGGCAGGGGACACGGTGCAGGAACGGACCCGCGCTTCTCCAGCTGATAGTTTCTTAAGTTGCAATATTTGCCATGGCAAAACAAGGGAGGCCCTTGTGATTGCTAAATTATGTATTAAAAATACAACTGGTTGGGATAGGAGGGGAGGGAGAGCAGGGAGAAGGTTACTGCAGAAAGGCACATTTCCACTTGGATGGACAAATGAAGGTATGAGGAGTAAAAACTGCAAGATAAGATGGCTTGGCCTGCAAATTATCCGCCCAAGACCCTAGTGGTATTTTTCCCTGTAAGTTGATAGAAAGGCACCTAAAGGCCTCCTTGACAAATAAATGGGTCGAATTGCTGTGGGGCAATCTTTTCCTGATGAGTTCTATGCATCTTGCCAGACAGTGGACTCCGTGGGAACACACCCTTATCCCTGGGAATTGGGGATACACACCAGGTTCCCTCCCCCTCACGTTCAGGGAAACTGTGCCAGAGGCTGAACTTTCCCTTCTGTGGTGCGGAGGCAACTGCTAATCCACATTCTCCCGGGGCCTACCCCCTCCTGGACTTTTTCCCGGTGTGGGGTTTACCCCTTTTCCCCTGACCCCCGGCAAATAAACATAGAATGCCCCTTTCTTCCTCTAGAAGCAGCCGAACTCACACGAACACGGTAGCGGGGAGAAAGGTGGACAGAGAGCAGGGAGCGAGGATGTGCTGCTGCCGTGAGTGCCTCTGGCACAGGTGCACCCGGCTCACCTTCGGCCAGGGGGTGTCTATCGACTGAACGGGCGGGAGGAAGGTGTAAAAACCAGTTCGAGGGGGCAGCCAGGGGCTTTTCTTCCGTGGTAAAGGTAGTGCAGATCCCGATTCACGGGACTAGGAACGAGGTCAAGCACTTTGGCGAGTGTCGTTTGACAGGGTTGCGGGGCTGGGGTAGAGCAGGCCGGGGCTGCGCCCGGAGATGAGAGGTCCTCGGACTTTCCCCTGCAGAAAGCGGGGTTGCAAAGAACCAGGAGTCGGGTGGTGGAGGGAATAGGTGGGGGCGGCCGGGGGTGTGTTGTACGCTGGGTAAACGCTGCAGGGAAGTCAGAAGGGAGGAGGAGAGGAGGTCGCGTACTGGGAGCAGGACCAGGGCGTGCGAAAGGTCCGGCCGCGGCCCGTGTCGGCCGCCGGGCCCGCGGAAGGGAGCGGTACCGGCAGGTGCCGTTCTCGCAGGCCGGCCGCAGTGATGAGTGCCTCCCCCGGCCGCGGCTCCCTGCCACCTCCGCGCTGCGAGCTGGGACGCGCCTCGGCGGGCTGTGCCTCTCCCCGCACCGGCTGCGCCGGGAGGGCCGCCCCTCGGGGCGGGGGTCTCCCGCCGCGGGCCCGGCCGACGCTGTGGCCTCTGTGCCCCCGCAGACGAGGAGGGGGCAGCGGGGCGGCGGGGCCGAGCCGGGCGCCCCGGAGCGGGCGGCGATCGCCGTCTGCTGGCTGCCGCCGTGCCTCCCTCGCCCTCGGCCCGGGTCGGGGCCGGCGAGCGGCAGCCCGCGCCGAGGCGATGCCGTGGGGAGATGCTCGTGAGGGCTGCCTGACGCCTGACCCCTCGCCAGCCCTGTCTGAAACGTGAGGCGGGGAGGGAGTGGGATCGCTTGCAGTTCCTCTAGCACTTCACTCCAAAACCCACTATCCAGAAGGAAATGCAAAACACTCCCTCGCTACTGGGGTGCCGTTGTTGGGCCAAAGCGAGCAAATCGGGAGGGAGCAGAAAGGGCAGGCAAAGGAGAGACAGGAAGCATTTTCCTGCCTCGGTGACTTGGTGACTCGGGGATCACAGCTTTCAACGTGACCGGTTTGCTACCCAGTCGAGATGGAACGGTCGGAAACAGGGTGCCTGAATAAAGTCCCGCTTTCTTTTGCAGCGTTAACAACTGTTCTGTGCCATCCTACAGCACCAGTCCCAAATCAGCTACGAGCTCTCTCTGTGTTTTGTTGTCTTTTCTCAGCTTGCTGGGTAAAAGCGTATGGAGAATCTCTGGAGCTTTCGAGTAGGGGCTCACCCTGTGAACGGTACTCACACATATAATTCAAATTTCACAGCTGACCTGCTCTGAAAACCTCAATCAGCTTCTAATTGAAGGGAAAACAAAATATTGCTTCCCTACAGCAGAGCTAACGATTTAATCATTATATCAGACATTATAGCTTTTAATTAGGCTAATGCTGATACTGTATGGAAAGAGATAATTCAACACAGTTCTTGATGAATTCTGTAATTGGGTTAACGGAGGAGCAGTTGGGGGAAGAGACGTCAATATTCAAGCTGCGTCTATAGCCAACAGGTTTATGAATGAAAGGGAAGGGAGAAAAAGAAAAGGGGGGGGGGGGGAGGAAAGGGCTAAAATTCCCTGACGAGAAATGTCTCCCCCCTTCGCCCAGGAGAGCCGTGCCAACCAACTGGAAGCGTGAGGAGAGTAAGGGCTGTCCTGCCGCCGCCTCGGCGCGCCCCACTCCCGGCCGCCGCTCCCAGCCAGCCCGGACTGCTGCGACACCGGCGGGACCCGAGAGGCGGCCCCGCTGCGGGACCCGCTGCGGCTCCCCGGAGCGGCTTGGGCGGGGGTCAGCGGCTCACAGGCCGCTTTCCCTCTGTCTCCACCCCAACCAACGTGTCGCCCACCGCCACGCTGGGAGCACGCGGGTAGGGGGCAACAGGGCCACCAGCACTGAGACTATCCTGCGGGGGTGCCCCTGGGCAAAGTCGGAGCACGGCGGGGGAACGCCGAGGGTGGTACGGGACGGGGCCGAAAGGTTTCTGAAGTCTAATGAGAGCAGGCAGCTGTCCTGCACAGCCGGGCGGGCTCGGCTCGGCTGCCGGGAGCTGCCCGCCCTGCGGGGCGCGGGTGCTGGGCAGGAGGCGCGACACGGAGCACGGGGGTGCGCTCAGGGCCAGCCCGCTCCGGGCACAATCAAAGCGGCCGGAGGGCAGGCTGCCGCTCCATGTACTGCCATTTATTTATGTATTTATTGTGTCAGATAAAAGGCGGCTGAAGGCACTTTCCTAAAGGAATTCTGCATCACCGTTCTCTCCACAGTGTCGATAAATTGCCCCTTCCCGAAGAGTTTGTATATCCCAGCCTTTCTATTTTCTCTCATTCCTTTCTAGTTTTTACTGGCTTTGAAAATAAGCTTTATGTCTCCGTTGCACCTAAAAGAAGTAGTATCGATCTCCCGCACGTCTGATCTCCGCAGCAGCCGACGGCTGCCCCAAGGCGACAGCGGGTCCCGGCGGGCGGGTGAGCCGGGGGTGTCCGGCATTGCCAAGGGAAAGGCGCGGCACGCCTCGGTGGGACGGCGGGGCGATCAGACCGCGCCTAAGCAGAGATTTTCTTCCCCCCTCCTTTTCCCGGCAGGACATTCAGCGTGTCTCCTCGCCTTGGAACGGCCCCGATCCTTCCCTCGGTGGGACTTTCGCGTCGGTAGAAAAACCAGAATCGTTACGAAGTTTTGTCAGCAGGAACATTTTCTAAAATGTTTGTTTATGCTACGCATCAGCTCGGCTTCCAGCACAATATTGTTCTTAAAGAGGAATATCCTGTATTGTGATCCATTCGTGTCTAATTTTGTTAGTAATTACAGTAAAATTGAATAAGTAATTGATAACATTCCAATGACACCACTCCCTATGATTAACAGGCTGAATACACCTTCTAACATTACACAAAAGTCGTACTTTTCAAGTTTGTTCAAATTTCAAAATTTCTTTAAAAATTGTTATTACTAAGGCACACACCGGCAATATGCGCTGATCAGATGGCACAGCATCTCGCGGGAGATGAGGGTTTGCACTACCCTAATTTTCACGGTTTGGGGTTTCTACCTAAAAGGATAGCCTGACCATTTACTTTTTACAGTCGAGTTATCGAGTGGTCCTTTAGAAAAAAATACCTCACATCAAAAAAACAAAAAAACCCCCCCACGAACAGAAAACATACCCAGCAATCTGCTTTCAACCAAGAGAAAAATATTTTAAAAGAGTTTAGTTTTGTAACTGTAAACTTGTAAATGAAAAGGAAGAACTGTGGCGGTGGAGAGTTTGTCGGACTAGAATGACATGAGGAATTATTACGTAGTTAATCTTTAAAATTGCACTGCTGAAATGTCAGTCACGGAAAAAGAGCTTCTCAAGCCCAAATGCGGCATCCCATTTACAGCAGGGCAACCTGGATGGTTATGTCTGTGGTGCGTCTCTCAAAACACCATAAAGGTAGTATTTCTAGTTTGCATCCTCGTCAGTTATCCCCAAACTGCAAAGGATCATTCAGGGAAAGTGTATTTGTGTAAAATGAATTTGTGTAAAAAAATAAATGAGGAAAGAAAAAACCCTAAATAATATAGAAGCTTCTTTCTTGCAGGTCATCCTGTTACTGCAAATTAGATTAGCTACACAGGCTTCAATATAAACATGACATGAGGTTCACAGGAGAGCGAAAGTATCATCCACTCCAATCTCTCCTTTCATCGAAACATCCCACACAAATTACATCTTCTCTTTTAATACACCTCTCAATGAGATTAAAACATCACTTTGACACGGTTTCAAACCTTTTCGGTCGCGCATTCAGTGCTTACTTAGGAAAACAGCAAACAAGGGCAAAACTAGAAACATCTAAATAATCTCAGACCGCTGGTCTGGAAATTAAAGGTACCCAGAGGAAATACATGATCCTCTTGCTCCATCCAGTGCAGCATTCTGGCCATGGGAAGGCAGATAGCGAACCCCAGTGAATGGAAGAGAAAAACCCAATTTCTTTCCCACCAAAGGGAGATACCGGTTACTTGGTCTGTGTTTGGATCCTGTCTTTATTTGCCTTCTGGAAAAGGGGTGTTTGTCATCTGTTTTTCAGCAAATTACTGACTGTTACTTCACACTGTCCTTAGTAGCCATAGTAAAGCGGGATAGTAAACAAACCGCTACTGACACCTTTAGCAAATATGTAATTTACAGCAAAGACCGGCAAACCTGAAAAAAGGTGCTGGAGCGGAGGGGATGGAGGCAGGTTGTTCATAGACTGTCCTGTTTTAGGAATAACAGCGCTTGGAAATAGCTGGGGCTACAGTTTAGCTGCACCCACAGCCTGACCCAGCCCGCAGCCGGTGCAGGGCGGTATCCCCCGCCCCCGGCCGGACCCCTCCTCTCCGGGTGGGAAGTGCAGCCCTCACGGGAGATGCTTTTCTCGAGGTGCATGTGCATATTTTTGCCGCAGGGTCAGCGCAATCGGGCGGCCCACGGCGGGAGGGGATGGTGTTAGCCCCCCGGGCCCGCAGAGGCCGTTCTGTCCCTCCATGGAGCCGGGGCCAGGAGCAGCGGGTGAAGACAGGGCGCGCTGAGACGCTGGGGCAGCCTGGCTTGTTGGGAAGAAATGGTAGTTCGGCAACTCACTGCCTGCTCGATACTGTGCGTTTGGGGACAATTTGCAACCACTCTCCCTATCCCCATCCATCCATCCATCCATCCATCCATCCATCCATCCATCCATCCATCCATCCCCCCGTTAACAAAGAGGCTTTCAAAACATAAGCTTTTATGGCAGCCTGCGGAATCAATGCGATAAAACGGGGTTTTAATGGGTTAATTGACTGGAGCCGCTATCATGTTTAAACACCTGTTTCTGAAAAGAGATTCAGCCAAAACGCGTCCCCTCCCTGATCGATAGATGTACAACCTTGCTGCACTGCCTGTTGATCGACCTCAAATACCACCCTCAATTATGAGAGGGAAAATCCATTTCACCTTTTTTAATATCCCAATACTTTATAGCAATAGTGAGAAACTCTGCAGCCACTTTGGAGCTTGGGAGGGAGAGTAAGACCCTGTGTGGGACCACATCAGATAGCGTTAACCTCCGGGCTGCGACTTGGCTTCGAGAGGCTGGGCACAACCTTCCTGTCGAGAGGTCCCGGCAGCTGTCACTTTCACAGGGAACCGGATCCGGGGATCCCCTTTCCTTGGGAAGATCGAGCCGAGCTCAGCCCGGCCGCAGTAGCAGTACTGGGAGCCCATGTGGATTCTCTCCCAGGGGGAGAGATTAAGCAGGCATTAGTTGTAATAGCTGAGGGCTGCTCTGCCTATTGATTTCCCCCCTTTTTTGGCAGTATTAATACAGCCAAGCCCGCCGATCAGTCACAGCGAAATTGATTCTTCGCCCAAGACACCTTTCACTAAATGGCACCCGCGCACCGACATGTTAATTTTGGAACGTGTAAGCGGAGCGGGCGCTGCGCGCTCGGGAGGCAACGCCGCCGCCCCCGGCGTCCTCCCCGCCCCAGCCCTCTCGCAGCCCCCTGCCCCTGCCCGGCCGCCGCTTCCCCCTCCCCGCCTCAAAACACAGTGAGACGTCTTCCCCAGAAGGCGGAGGGGGGCAGCCCAAAACGCTGTCACACCACACCGCACCCCCCCAAATCCGTGTCACAGCCGATAACCCAGTGACTGCAACCGGCTCTTCCCTCCTCGAAGCAAAAGTAACTTGGAAGCCCTCCCCTCGCCGGCTTCCCCTCCTCCATTCCCAAGACAGGGTGAAGACCCCCTCAAAAGTTAGAGGCACACTTACAGTTGCTCTTCCATCTCCAGCCTCCTCCCAACATATCATCTGAAGGGGCAGCCTTATTATTATTACTTTTTTTTGTTTGTTTGTTTGTTTTTTCCCTCTGCTCTAGCCTAGCTCACACCTTCCTCCGACCGTGCCCGCGGGTGCAGGGCAGCGCGACACGGAGCCGGCGGTCTCCTCCTCGCCCCTCGCCCAGCCGCAGCTCCCAGGCGGCTGTGCCCGAGCCACGAGTGCCCGGCGACACACGCACACTCACCATTCGCGCTCTCTCGCTCACTCGCTCTCTCTCTCCCCCTCACACACACACGCGCACGCACACACATACACACCGCACGGGAGAGGGGGAGAGAGGGAGAGCGGGAGACAGAGAAGAAAATGAAATTTATTATTGATAGAAAAGACTTTAAAGACAATTTCAAGTTATTGTTTCGGTCTGCAGAGAAAAGAAAAAAAAATAAAAGGAAAGGGAAAAAAAAAAGGAGAGGGGCTTTTCTCCCCACCCCAACATAATGAAACGCCTTTTGTGTGGCACTGAACAATACCAAACAAGTATTCTAATAAAGAGCCACTTTTTTGTTCCTTCGCGGCAGTGAATAGAATTGAGCAGTTGGTTTGAGAGCAGCTGGAGCGCCGCACCGAGCGGGGAGGTGGAGCCCGGAGCCTTCGTCCTCTTTCTCTTCCCCTTTCCTTTTCGCACACTCACTTTCTCCTCATTTCTGCCTCTCCGCTCCTGCTGGGCCACTGTCCCCGGCCCCTTTCTCTGGGAGAACTGCCTCCCGGAAGGGTAGAGCCACCCCTAGGTGCTCCTTCCGCACCTGTGTGGAGCCGCGGGGCTCCCCGCGCCTCCTCCCGACCCTCACCGCGTCTGCCTCGGCCGCCCGGGACTCTGCTCCTGCCCTCCCCGCCGTATCCTGGAGGTTCCAGCCGCCCAGGGACCCCGATCCCGCGCCCCCCCGCAGTACTCTGCCTCCGACAGCTCGGGACAGCGGAGGCTCCGCGCCCGGCCAGACCCTCCTTTGTTGACAATAAACTTGGATTTCACAGGGAGGCTCAGAGTCCCCCTCCGCCCCCTCTCTCCCCCTCTCCCGGCCTTCTCTCGGGATGAAGCTGGGCTTTGTCAACCTCCCCCTCTCCGCTCAGGATCGCTGCGGAGGGTCCGCTCTTCCTCCGCCCTGTACCGCTCATTGCCATCACCTCCCCTTTCCTAGACAACGCCGTTAGTTTTTTTCTTGCATTTTTTTTCTTCCCTCCCTAAAACACTCTTTTCCAGTCCCTTTTGCCAATATGACAACCGCTCTAGGAAAGGAAGTCGATAGAGGTTATTAAAATGGACACGAGTCAGCTAAAGGTTTTCAGGTAAAGCTGAGAGTGCCCCATTTTCCGTTCTGCTCCGGCTGTGCGGGCGTGTGCCTGCCCGTCTGTGCCGAGGATGTGCGGCGGGGAGGGAGGGAGGGAGGAGGGGAATAAAGGAATGGCTTTGGCCGCCCGTGGAGCCGGCTTTAGCATCCAGGCAGGTCGTGGCTGCCGGGGTTGAACCCTGCGGGGAGACCAACGGAACCGGGGCAGGAGCCCAGGGAACGGACACCTCAGGCAGCCGTCTTCCTACGGCCGGACTTTCTCCTTCTCTTATTAGGGGGTGGGTCTAGTCCTCATTCAAAAAATAAACGAATACATACACCCCCCACCCCCACCATTAACCTCCGATTCGTTTGCCAGCCGGAGCCGTGCTTTTCTCGCAAAAGCTGCGGGAAGTGCCCGAGTTTCAATTAAACCCCAGCAGTTGCTGCAAAGACACCTTAGCATTCAGGGATTACCTCGTCAGCTATTTTGAGGTGCTCAGTTACATACAATCATTAGAGATGTTGGAATAAAAAGCAGATTGCTTTTAAGTTTAGACCACCGTTGCCCTTTATAGACTCGTATTGACGCCCGGAGGGGGAACAGGGCAACGGACGGGCGTGTATTAACGACCTGAATTAAATGTTACATCCTCATCCGTGGCGCTAGAAGTGACAGACATCTCGGCCAAGGCTCAGCGCTCGCCCTCCGCTAGAGCCGATCCTTGCACGTCCTTCCAGAGCTGCCCAGAGGGACCCCTGGAGGTGAGGGCAAAAAACGGGGGACTGCTGCGGGGGTGCCGGGATGCCCTCGATGTCCCCTCCCCAGACCCCGTCCCTTTTCCCGGGGGGGTCTCGCTGTGATCCGTACCCGGCTGCGTACCTCTGCCTGCACGGAAAATTCCCCTCCCTTCTTTTTCCACCCCCCTCCCTCCCCTCTCTTTTAAGTGGATTTTTGCTCTCACTTCAATAACACGCCGGCTCTAATTAGCTGCAATATTAAGAAACGCTGCTAAATGACAGTTTTATCGGGTTTGTGCAGATAGGAGGAACGCGGGGACCCGGCGAAATATCCACCCAATGCGTTTGGTGCTGGATCCCCGCCAGCAGCCACCGCTCGCTCTTTTTATATGGAAAAATGGCAACATTTTGGAAAGCAGCTTTAAAACTTTGACTTATATTTTACATGCTAAATAACGGGGAGAATGGCGACAGCGTTACAGAAAGCTTCAACCCTGCAAATATTTGAATGGGGCTTTTTTTGTAAAGTAGAGCAGCTGTCAGTCAGCTGGCTTTGACAGCCTGCCACAATTTTGTCATTTAATAGTGGGTGTTAGGCTAAGTGCAAAACACTCTGGCAAACAGATGTCAAACCTACATCTCATATAAATGGGGGTTGTAAAATTGAGTTTTAACCCACATATAGGGTTTTAAAAAGCAGTGCTAGTTTGTAAACTGTATACAAAATAAAGATACTGAAAATCTCCCGTGTGGGCTTGTTATTTAAAGCAGGCTTATTTAGAAATCTGACCTCCAAATTATGCTAAATCTTCCTACATTTCAAACAGTGGAATATGAGAACAGTGGTTGAGAAAGTTGAAATTAAGGACATATATGATGGCTTGTTGAAAGGTCTGATTGCCGTGTGTACGAAGAAACCAAAGCTCTCAATTAATTAAACTTGTTGTCACTCCACCAAATATGAAGGGAGGGAGGGAAGGAAAGAAGGAAGGAAGGAAGGAAGGAAGGAAGGAAGGAAGGAAGGAAGGAAGGAAGGAAGGAAGGAAGGAAGGAAGGAAGGAAGGAAGGAAGGAAGGAAGGAAGGAAGGAAGGAAGGAAGGAAGGAAGGAAGGGAGGGAGGAAGGGAGGAAGGGAGGAAGGGAGGAAGGGAGAGAGGAAGGGAGGAAGGGAGGAAGGGAGGAAGGAAGGAAGGAAGGAAGGAAGGAAGGAAGGAAGGAAGGAAGGAAGGAAGGAAGGAAGGAAGGAAGGAAGGAAGGAAGGAAGGAAGGAAGGAAGGAAGGAAGGAAGGAAGGAAGGAAGGAAGGAAGGAAGGAAGGAAGGAAGGAAGGAAGGAAGGAAGGAAGGAAGGAAGGAAGGAAGGAAGGAAGGAAGGAAGGAAGGAAGGAAGGAAGGGAGGGAGGGAGGGAGGAAGGAAGGGAGGGAGGAAGGAAGGGAAGGAGGGAGGAAGGGAGGAAGGGAGAGAGGAAGGGAGGAATGGAGGAAGGGAGGAAGGAAGGGAGGGAGGAAGGGCTTTACAGGTTCAGAGGTTTCAGGGACTGTTTTCTACAGCGGGACCCGAGGGATTTGATTTAGGAGAAGGCGGCAGGGGAAAGTAAGACCGCAGATGCAGGGAGCAGGCAGCTGCAGAAGCACAGACTCCATAGGGTGAACGACGGACCATGCAATGAGGTGGCCAGATCCACTGCAAAGGGTAGAGGGCACCCGCCCAGGACATAGCAAGATATGAGCAGTAGAAGGAAAATACTAGTTACAATTAATTTATTTCAAAGTTATTGTTGGATACATGAGCTGCTTTTCCTTTTGAACTCACATTTCCAGGACTTGTAGCTTCACCGAGATGTGGTTTTCCCCTGCACTTTGAGGGACCTTCCTGACAAAATTACTTTTAGCATCTAAAAACCGTCATAAGTATTTACAGAAAAAGTGTTCGTTGCCTCAGTTGGTTAGGACAAAGAGAAGAGTCAAGATGATAATTCATTGCACGAATGATATTATATGGATTATATCAAATTCCTCAGAATAAGTCTGCACCCACATTATCATTTTGAAAGCTAGACATGTAGCTTCCTAGACAAGGCGATGTGAGGGGATTAAACGAAACATTTAATTGAAAAGAATTGTTCATATTAATAATTAACTACAGTTTAAACATGCTCAGTTGATTTCCTTGTCGAGTACTCACTTGCAATATTTGCACTGTCCTAGCTGATGTTAAATGAGTAGAGGAATGCCCACGGGGTGATTATTGATCATATGCAGTTACTGCTGTTTACATTTAAATCCCATTTGATCCGAACTCCACGCTCGTCTCCAAATCCCCGAAGCTCTGCTGCTTGATTATAGCCTTTTCCCCTTTGCAGGTTTTTGCTTGTTGCTTTGCGGGAGCTTTCGACACTTAGTTTGCAGAACGGCCATGAATGCCTGGGACGGGCTGATCCTGCCCAGGTGCTGGGGAAGCGCGGGGACAAGGGGATGGCCGCAGCCCCGGGAGGTGGCCCCGCTCTGTGGCGGCGGGCAGCGGTCCCCGGCCGCAGCTGCGGGGCTGCACTTCGCAGCCCCGGGCTGTCGGAGAGGCGCTCGGAGCCTTCCCAGCCCCTACCAGGGCTCTTGGCTCACTACAGTAGACACCCTGTTGCTGGGTCTAACCTGAAAGTTGCCGCTTCAGAAACACCAAATTTTAAAAAATATATTGAAAACCCCCCAGTGGTTCGCCTGGAGTGCCCCACGCTGAGGGCACTGGGGACTCCTCGGGCTCCAGGCACCAGCCCCGGGGTAAGGTCTCTTGCACTAACACTTGACAACACTAACTACAGCCTAGCATCAGATCACTTCGTCAAAGAAGAAGGTTTTATTCTGGAATAATTGCCACTGAATTATTTAAAATCAATTGTAGCTGCAACTTCGATGGGCAGTGTGGCTGGCTCTGCGGCTGGTTTCTGGCTCCAGGGAGGAGCCTGGACTGTCTTTATTCAATTTCCACATGCAGAAAAATGCCTGTAGCTGTTATCCAGCCCATTTACCTGCAAAGAAAGGCTATGGCAGAACGTGACCCTTATTTTCAAACAAGAAAATGACCAACAAATCTGGAAAAAGAATTACTGACATCCTTGATAGATACTAAAAATCTTCTTTTGCTGCTTAAAAATAGACATTCTGTTACCTCTAATGTGTTTGCTTTTTTAACCAATATACTTATATGAGTGCTTTCCATCATAGACACAGCTGTCTCTTTTTCAGCATTCTGCCATGACATAGTTGCAAGCCTCAGAAGTCAAAATATAATTGACACAGCTAAATATTTTTTCCTAAATGCAGCAGTTTTATCAAGTCTTGAAATTAAGTCCAGTGACAACCTGCCTGTCCTACAATTGCTCTGGAATACAGATCAGCACCCTCTCCAACAGCAGTGTCATGGGAAATCCAGGCACTCAACTTGTATTTATTCCATGGCTTCAAATGTTAATATTAGCATGTTTTCAAGGTGGAAATATCATTGAACAAATTCAAATGATAGAGGTGGGAAATTACTAAAATGACATTAGAAATGTAAATAAAGATAATTCTAATTTTAGTGTTTAAGAATTAAATGGGGTTTGTGTTGTAGACAGGAAAAACAAAGTTCACAAAAATTGTGTCTCCCATGGGTTTGGTTCCTGTGATTGCTGTGAATGATGCCTGATCCATACTGGAGTGAAATCAGCGGGAAGTTACCACTTCTGTAACATGCAAGCTATAAAAATCAACAGGGGAAATCTAATTGTTTGTGTTGCTTCTGTCATTGAATTTTAGAGCAGTAGACAGTAATGGAATTGTTTTCTCAGTATGACGGTGGGTTTTTTTTTGGTTTTTTTTTGTGGTTTTTTTTTTTTTTTTTTGAGGGGAAGTGGTTAGGTCATAGATTTGTTTCCCCTTTCAATAGGGTCTGAAGTTGAAACCACACCATCCAAGTGCAGAATACATATTCCAAAACCAAAGTGCAAAACAGTTTTTCAAGAGGCTTATGAGTAGAAAGTATGGAGTGAAGATTAGGTTATCCCACTGCAATGCAATCCAGTCATTTGATGAAATCATCAAAGTTGAAGGTAGTGCTTTAAAATGGAGCATGGCTTAGCATCAGGCTTAGCTTCAAAGAGACTGAGGCAACTTAGAGCTCCTCATTGAAGTGTTTAGAGACTGTCGTCATTATCACGAACCCACCAGAACATGTTACAGCTTTAAGAAATCACTTTTTTACGAGTATCCAAGCACATGTACCAAAAGATCATATTTTTATGGCAATGGCAGAAATGTTTTCACATATTTCGTATATATTTAACATCATATATTTGTATTTCCTGGGGAAGGTGACAGTATATTTTCCATTTGATGCCCCAGCAGTATATGCAAAATGAGGGTATATATTTTCTTCTGTTTCCTTTGTAGATGTTCCAGTGCTGGAGAAGCTCCTTCTCATATCTTTGGCATGAGTAGATCACAATGAGGCATAGCTTGCTGAGACAGTGACTGCTATGAAACTATCCAAACCTTTCAGCTCCTCTTCTAGTGAGGATGATTCACTTCTGCTGCTTTACCAGGACAGCCCCTGGGTCACCCAGAGGGTTAGATTGCTCTTCTGTTGCATTAGGTCCAACTGTGCCATCAGTTTGTTGCCTTACGTTCCACCAAAGTGTCCCGATGCTCTGATTGTTGCTACTGCAGAAATCCTGGGCTTATGGCTGGGATAGACATCTCATATGCTTTGTGAGAAAACCTGGAGGAAGGAGAGAGGATGGTTTTCTCTGGAGCCCTCTTCTCAAAGGCAAAATATGGATATGAGCCAATCTGAGACGGGAGTCATGTACTCAGACCCTGCTTCAGCTCTCGAAAGCTGTTCACATGCATTGAAACAGGGCAATCAACTATTAATAACGATTAAGAAACAGCCTGAGGTCCCTGTAAGTCCTGTAGATTTCAGCATTTGTAGGGCTCCAGGATATTTAGACACAAAATTGCCACTGAAACGAAATAAGCTCTGCATCCAAATCCCTGGATTTACATATCATTGATCTGAAGACATGAGATCTCTGGCTTAATCTCCCCAAGCCTCCACTGAACCATTGATACACTGGCTACTATAGCACACATGAACATCACAGGGGAATTATGAGAACAAACTTGCTAATACTTTTAAAAAGACATAAAGTGTTAACAAATGTACTCAGGGTTATCATTACTATTTATCACCATGACACTCACTGGCTGGGAAAGTGGGAAATAATGTTTAGAAAAATCTGAGGAATATTGTCTTATTTGAAAATATCTCTGCTACTAATGTGATGACTGTCTAGTGAAGTTGTGGTTGCTGGGAATTCACACACTGATTTTATGGAGAGATAAAAGAGTGGAGTTTATATGGAATAAACCCCTTTTGAATAAAACAATCTGCATAAATGCTTTAAGAAAGCCTATAATTATGATAAAAATGTTGCTCAGAGTTAAAATTATGAAGCAATCAAAATTTATAAACAGTCTCTCATCGACTTTTAATCATACTTTCTCATATACAAACTGTAGAAAACATATAGTAGCAATATATAACAATACATATTTTATTTTTGGTAATTTAGGGTGCCATGCCATTCTCTTAAATAATACAAAGATTGTTTTGTCAAGCTCTACAGTAATATCCTTAAATGTCAAAAAACGCATAAAGTTCTCTAGTTTTATCTACACTTATCTGAGGTTTTATCCTGCTGGCAGTTAAACACCTCTGGAGAGCTGTTTTGCCCTGTTTGGGCTAGATCCAAAACATTCTTTGGTCATATTCCCACCAAGAATCTCTGGATTGTGGCCTCTACTCTCACTGCCTGCTCTGAAGACACTCAGTGTAAGACAGGGTCCTACTCACACCTCCCCTGAAACTCCCTTGTAGACATTGCTCTTCATTTGTCATTCATTAAGGAGAATGCTCAAATTATATGCATCATGTAGGACTTGGATGGCAAGAGATATTGAAAAGAAGGAATATTTGTAATGGGAACCTTGCCAACTTGAATGGTAGCCTACCATGTCTATAAGCTCCATTGTTTCCTCTGAGCTGAACTAGCTGAACACATTTGGGATGCATCTTGATAGTAACATGTCTCCCTTGGCAAGTTGTAAAATTCACTGGTATTATTGTGTTATGAAAAATATCATCACAAATGGGGTCAGATAGGTCATTATAATGAAATATTTTCTTCAAGACATATGTATTTTTAATGCAGTATTACTAGATTCTTTTCTGGAACAGAATAGTGTGCAGAGTATTACATCTGAATTCTTTATGAAAATGCGATCTATTAAATTGACTGGCACAGCTTTTATTGTTAGGTTAACTGTTCAAGTCCCCTTAATTACCAGAGTGAGCAGCCTTTTCTACTAAAACATTGATTCAACTGCTGCTTTCATCTAGACATAATAATAAGGAGCAACTGCCCCGAGTCTCACAAGGTTTACACCTTCCAAATGGAGTGTGAAATCATGTCCATAAATACATGCTTTCAATGTTTTCAAGGGGTGGCACCCTTCCAGGACTTCCTATTGATTCCATTTGTCTTCAAGTCCTTGTGAGCTCACTCCCTTTTCACTGACCAACAGACTGAAACAAAAGTTGCCAAGTGGACTAGTGGTGAAAGGAAGGACTGGAGAAGTCTCCTTCCACAGTCTGTGGGGCAAGACTCTAAGGGGCATTCATCCTATTAGTCTGTGGAGCAATTTGAATACTTTGTGACTTTTCCAAAGAAATCACACTGTATTTTATATGAATTCTGCATGCTTGAAGGGGAAACGCTTTTGGCTTGGGAAAGTGAAACCTCAGCTTGACCCTCAGCTAGACAATTTAGATGGCAGTTTTTGAAGGACAGAGAAGCTTCACGGGTGCAGCTGATGTGCATTCTCTGATAGCATTTGACTATCAAGCAGTGGCACTCTTCGATGTGCTTGCCATGCTCCTGCCCATGTCCCAAATCCAAGCACAGTACAACTTCTTTTTCAGCCAAAAAAAAAAAACCCTTGTCCCTTTGGAACTTTGTGATTTTAGGAGAGACAGGCAGATTTTTTTTTGTTTTCTTCTTTTTACAGTTCAGTTTTCTGACACTTGGCCCTATTAGGGGTTTATCTACAGCAGGATGGGTGTAAGTTATTTTCTTTGATTAATATGACACTTAATTTAAAAGAGTTCTTTACTATGAAGTCTCTACATTTAGCAGTCTATAATCACTAAATATAAACATAAACTCTCACTTTGTGTCTATATGTGGGCCTACAAATGTGGTTCTCTTTCCAGCTGAGACAGATGAATGTCATGAGTGCTCTGTGTAGGATGCAGGGCAAAAATACTACAACAAAACCTAAACAAACCTAAAGCATGAAACCAAACATTTTGTACACTTACATTAAAATTATATTGAAAATTGGGAGCATGAACTACAAAACTAGGCTTTCTTCTGTTTTACAAACTGCAACGTCTGCTAAGAAAAACTAAAGCATAATTGCAAACTGGAATTTCCTGCCTATTCTTACATCAACATTTGTGTTTTTCTCTTATCATCTCCCACATGTAAATGGAGCAGCTTCCTAACCCTCTTGTTATATATCACATTCAATATAACAGTTTAGCAAATTCTCCAATTGTGTTGGTGTTTGCTTTCACAGACATGGAAAGCAATTTGATGTGTCCTTTTAATGAGTCATTTTCATGCAAGGAGAAAAACAGTGCTTGGGGAAGTTCTTAAAGCATGCTGCTCATGGATTTTAAGATTCTCTTTTGAATCTGTGTTGCTTAAAACCCATATTGTTTTGTCAGAAGAGTTATTCAAACCATCTTTTCTTCTAACTCATGAGTTTGAAGAACTCCAGCTTCCTTTTACTCCTTTGCAGGGGCTGCGATTTTGTCACTGAATTGACTTTGCCACAAAACAGAAAATGAAATTAAGGTTTAGTTCGGAAAGCTTTGAACACTTGGGTTGTTAATAGTAACTGTCAAAATGTTAGAAGGATGCAAAACCATCTGTTCATTATAGTGCAAGGGAAGTGCAGATGGAAGTCTAGTAGGGCAGAAGTTCTCTCCTTCTGTACCATGTGTTGACTCTAAACTATACTGGCAACAATATACATGTATTTTTTTAAGCTGTGCACCTGTGCTGATCATTTTGGTGGTATTTCTAATGAATGCACAAACCTACTAATCTTGCTTGAATTCTCAAAGGGTGACAAAGGGTGGCTTGAGAATAAAACTAGATGCAATGGATATTTTCTTTAGAGGAACAAAGAATTTGGGACCAACAAAACAACTGTGAGAAGAACAGGTGAGCCAGACTTCCTACACTGGTCACTGAAGCAACTACACTGGTCATCATAACCCTGCCTATGGTCACATGTGCTCTTGCACTAGGGTTCCTTTGGGGTTTCACTCAACTGACAAGACGGAGAGATGGCACATACTGACCTCTGAAGCTCTAATAAGGGAGGGCCTGAAATTTTGGCTATAGTGGGCCACATGAGCTGTGTCACACTGAAGAATGTAGGGGTGCTTTCCTACCCCTTTGCTTTGGTGAGACAACTCAGACATGGCCTAGTTCCATGATAGGGGTGGATTGATGTATACACCATCCAATCCCCGTGTTCAGCTTTTTTTTTTTCAGATGTACTGGCGAAGAGATGTGGCATGTATGGCAGTGAGTCCCCTCATCTGAAACACTGAGATTCATGGCTTTTGGGCATCCTACAACATCCTGCAAGGATACAGCTCCAGCCACATGAGGATGTGGGAGAATGTGCAACAAAAAAAACACACAGGAAGGTGGTCCCTGTAGCATGTTGCATTCCCACATGTATGTGGCATTTAGCAGGGGCTGCAGGCAGTGTGTGTGTGCAAGGGATGAATTTTTGCTGTGATCAGGGCAGCAGGGGTGTGCACTGGGCCACTGGGGAAAGAGTTAGAGGACAGACTGCCAGAACAACTCATCCAGATTACAGCTCCCTTGCTGGGGCAAGCTGGTTGGTCACAGGCAATAGGCTGCAGAATTGAATGAATGTTTTTCTGGATCTTGCTTGCTGGATACATGCAAAGCACATCAGAGCAAACTTGTGAATAGAATTCAGTCTTGCAAAAGGAAGTCTTGCTGGAATAAGGTACCATTAGAAAGCAAATTCTCTAGGATTCATGGGAGCCCATTTAAAAGCAAAATCATTATTTTTCTTTTAAACTAAAGGAAAATCTTCTAAAAGCAAGAATTGACAATAATTTTGTTGAAAATGTAGGTGATATTGGTACCTGAAGCTACTGGTGAACATAATTTATAGTGTGCAGACTCTATAAATTGTGTTCAATATATTTTCCAAACTACACAAATAAAATGACAATTATTTATTAAAAATACTACTTTGGTATAAAAGTTTAAAGTTTCTTTTGGGCACAATACATTGGCTGTACTTAAAATCTGTATATTGGAATGATAAAGGTCACTGTGAAATTGTAAAAGTCTTACCAAAGAGCAAAACCACTGCATACAAGCTGAACTACTTAACCCAGCCATGAATTGTCTAAACAAAATAATTTGATACTGGCTGTTTTCCACATTTTAATTAGCAACTGCAGACGGCTGTTGCATAATCCTATTTAATGTCTGTGCTTGATACCTCCCAAATAGCTCAGTGATTGAATTCATACCTTAGTGTGGCTAAATGCATTAGCTGAAAGAAAACCACTAAAACTAAGATTCACTTTCT